AATCCTACTTCACAAGCTGGCGTTCGCAAACGACCCAATCCATTTTCATCGTGCCGATTGGCTGAACTAGCACCAACGCAGAGAAACAGCAGATGCTAGCTTCTGCGGTCCGCCCAAGACTGTTTCTGCCGTGAGTTACATGTGCACAGTAAGGAATAAAAGCTCCAAATCTGTGAAATTATACCTGGATTTTAACTACAGGATTACAAATACCAGGGTCTGCTGTACACAGCGAGGTATTCCAATGGCTTTCTCACAAATTCAGCAGTAACTCCTTCAGCAATGTGAGCGACAACTTTTTGATTAAATCAGATCAAACTCTCCAACGTTTTCTATGCCCGTCAATGACCCGCAGCCACAAGTCTTTGCTCGTCATTTCCTGTCCTTGGACCACTCTTGAGACCTGCGGACTGGAAATGCCCCACAAAGAGCTCCAGATTTGGAGACACTCTGACCCAGTCGTCGAGACTTCACTTTTTTTTTTTGTGATGTTTTTAAACTTGCTCATTCCTTCACTTTTCTTCTTTCCTGCTTTCAACACATTACCTTGGAGGATAAACAGTTTGTCTGGCATTATAAAGAGTCGGTTTTATCTAACTTCTAGTAACATCTGCAGGTATTTCAGAAGATTTTCTTGCTTTTTTTTATTACAAGTAGCAGGGCCGCAGTAAACAAACCTGGACGTGTAAAATTAGTTCCACTTTAATAATTGAGCTCGTGGATCTATAGAATGAGGGCTGTGGGGCTTTTGTTTCATGCTGTTATAATTCTCTTATGAATTATTCATGCATGTTAAAGAATAAATATACGTCCTTAGACGTCTTCCGATGATGACAGGCTGTACTTCTCACTCCGTGGGTGTGTTGATTGGCTCTAGCTGTGAGGAGAAAATAGCCTTCCTCTCATCCTTTCAGCTGCTGTGTTTAAGTTCCCGCGTGGCTCTCTGTGGCGAAAGACGGCGAGAGAACGGCAGAAAGCTGAAACACCCATCAATAAATGATGAAATAAACTCATTGTTGCCAGAGTCATTCAAGAGCACCGCTCTTTGTCAAAAGCGAGGACCCGGCACTTTATCCTACTTCGGCTGAAGGTCAAACAGGTCCGATGGTGCTCTCCTGTTGGGAGCTGAGCTGTTTTTCTACAATCCTGGAAAATGAAGGTCGAATTTCTGGGCCGCCGTTTCCCTCAGTGCCCGTCGCGCCAGGGGAAGGAAGAGGAGAGGGAGGATGCAGTGCAACACGACCGCCGCGCCGTTACGCAAGGCCGGAGAAAGTGCAACAACAGCACTGAAACCTGGCTCAGGGCAGGGAAAGTAGAAATGGTAAAATATGCGGGAAGAAGGGGAGAACAGGAGGCGGAGGAGGCGGTGGCGGGGTAATTCAATCACATCAGTGTCCTCATTTGCAGGACAGAGCGTGAGAGTTAAGAAGAACTAATGAAATAAGCAAAGCGCTGAGTCAGATGTTTGCCTCGTTCTCCCACCAAGGGGAAACGGCAGGGAGAGGGAGGGAGGTGAGACCAGCGGCGAGAGCCGTTCTGCAGACCTTCTTTGGGTTTTATAGGTTAAGAGGTCAGGGCCAGGGCAAGATAAGTCATTCATCTCAGTTTCCACAAAAAGATAAAAATAGCCTGAAAACAAAAGTGTCTTGGTTAATCTGATGCTAGTGGCCACTAGATAAAGCAAAAAAGATGGAACAAAACAGAAAATGAATTTATGATTATTGTTTATCTGATCTGGTCTGCCTCCATCGCTGCTTAACTGAACTTGGCCCAAAATATTGGTCCTATTATTTGTTTCCATTGTTTATTTTATTTTTTTATTGTAAGGATGCACGGTAATGCTTCTTACACCGTCAAAAAGTTTATTTCAGCACAGATGGTGCAAGATTTGTTGGGAAATTGCATTTCGGGAGCGGTGGGGTAAGAGGTGATTGCAAAGCCGAGAGATATGAAGATGAGATTCTGCAGCCCGCGATGCTCCCATATCTCCTCGTTGAGGGTATTTTCACACCTAATAGTCCGGCAGGCTCGGTTCAATTAGGGACCAAAATGGCCACATTTGTCTCGCTTTCACACTGCACTGTGTGAAATGAGCCCAACCCTTTTTACAGAACCATATTTCCCAACTTGGCAGTGGTGCCACTGCACCAAGAAAACCAACGAAGGCGACATGGGTTCAACGTCCTTCTTCACAGGAGGTAAACAACAATGGATCGGCATCAGATTTTAGAGGTTATAGTATTTCTCCAAATTCCGTTTTTCGTGTTTCTTTTGCTTGTATCTACCCAGAATGCCCGGCGCCGTTGTTTGCTTCCTGTTTTTGGCATTCGAACCACACCAGAGTTCAATTAACCGAACAAACCCCTAGATATGTTTGGCAGGAAAAGAGGTAGCTTCTGTTGTCCTCATCTGAGCTTCATTACACGTTATTACTTTCACTTTCTAGGCAAACAAGAACGTGAGAGTTTGACTATCGCGGACTAAACCACATTATAATCATATCAAGGACTGATTTGTTAAGCTTTCCATTCTCCTCATGCGGGTTTCAGTCCGTCTTTGTTGCTCCAATTCCTGACATGCTCGTTTCAGGAATGTGTGAGTGGTTCCCCCCGTCCTCCTCCCCTTCCTGCAAAGGTAGCTCTCATTATACAAGGCAGCTGTATCTTCAATGAGCAGCCAAATATTTCCGGCGATACCGCCGACTGTGACTCACCACCAGCCTGTGGAGTTCATAAAACTTTCCTCCAGCTCTCTGATGCTCCGTGAGGTGTGACAAAGTGCGCCTGATGTCTGGATCAGATGCCAGTCCTCAGGATGTGCATCACACGAGTGTGTTTGCGCGGCACCCATTAAAGAAAACAGTTATACGGCTGCCGGTGTCTTTACGGCCCATCTGTCATGAGTTTTCAACTTCCAACATAAACATTAGGAAAGTGATGAAATGCCGTCAGAAACACCAAAATGTTTGATTTTCCTTGCAGCAATAAAAACAGTGACAGCAGAGAACAGCGACTCAGAAGGAAACCCGAGAAAGCCTGTGTCAGATCACATTATTCTCACAATTAGTAAATAGTGATTATTTTGGTAATTCTAACTAATAAAAATAATATAGGTAATTAATATGTGTTTATATGCAGCCGAAGTAAATAGCTATTTTCAGCTGTGCTACCCAACAACAAGCTGAGATTTGAGAAGCACAAACATGTTAAACCAGCTTTAGCTTAATTAATGAGATCCATTTAATGTTATGGAAACTTTTGATACATATAGAGCTCCATATTTTATCCATGCATCTGAGAATCTTACCATTTGCAATAATGTGGTCTAAATCATTTTCAGGAATTTCAAAATGTGTCATACACCATTTATTACTGGACATATGTTTCAATGTTTGTCCAATGTTCACAGGACAAGTGAAATATAGAACCAAACTACACACTAAAGCCTGTTTTGCACTTTCACAAACCTTTCAGGGCTAAAGTTTCAACACAGAGACGTGTGAGTACAACCCCCAGAAATACGCCACCCCGTCGTTTTTATTCACTACAAAACACAGGAAAATGTTCAAGTTATTCCCGTGCTGCCAATGAAAAGAACTTCATTACTTGGTGTTCAGTGGGTGTGAACTCCTACAAAAAGCAGACGTTTTGACAGTTCACAGGTCGGGAGGATTCGTCTTTGGAGCCGACGCGAAGTCAAGGAGAAAAGGCACCGGGGCGATCTGAGGCAGCCAATTAGCGCGGTCAATCATTCAGGGAAGTCTTACCGGTGTTTTTATTTTAAGTGGACTCTCAACGGGGGAAAGACTCACAATCTTCTCATGAGTGGAAACAGTTGTGCTGCGGGGAAAAAATGGAATCAGGCCTCAGTGGTGAAATCTGTTTCCTGGGGTGATGGAGGCAAAAAACCCCAAAAAACTCAGTCAATAAGTTTCTAGTTTTTTTGTTGTTCTTTTTTTTTTTACTTTTGCCAGTAACCATTGAAAAGAGAACCAATCTGCTCTCCTGTGAAACGTTGATGTTATCAGACAAAGCGTGAACACAAAGTTCTTTTAGAGCCGACTGCAACTGAAAGAACATGGGTTCTGCACAAGCTAAACTTATAGGACAAGAATCCAAATGCATCACTGCAAATGTATCACTGCAAGTGCATCGCTGCAAGGGCATCGCTGCAAGCGCATCATGCGGCGGAAGCAGGTCAGAGTTGATAAGAAGATAGATGAAGCACGATACTTTGATTCTTTCATGCATGATTGAGAAATCCTTTAATCTCCCGTGGCAACCATTGAGCTGTGCAAAATGCCTGGCTGGATGTAGCTCCGCCTTCCATAGCAAAGCTCCTCCTCTGCTTCGCCTCCTTAGTTCAATGCTGGTAAAAAAAACAACAAAAAAACACTGTTAAAGGGTCACCATTTTGGGTTCTTTTAACTTGGACTGTCATGAAGATCCCAAGAAAAATATTAAGAAATTCACAGAGGCGTATTAGGGTCATTGTGACAGGAGTAAACTTTCACCAAAAACAAAACAAACAAAAAAAAAATCTCAAAAAATTTTGAGGAAAACAAAAGTGAGATTTTTATTTCTAGAAAATTTAAGAGATGAATCTCAAAATACTGGCTTTTTTTTTTTTTAGAAAAATTTCAAATTGTAAAACAAATTTTTTCACCAGTTTATTTTTTAAATTAGGCTATAATTTTTTTGTTTGTTTTTATTTTTGCAGAAATTTACATTTTAAACCCCCCCCCCACACACACACACACACACACAATCGGCGACGAAAGACAACAGCGTAACAGGCCCCGCGTGGTTTACTATCACTGCGCGGCGGTGCCACGCACCCATCTGGAAAAAAGAGGCGCGGGTGGGAGGAGGAGGAAGAGGAGGAGGAAGAGGAGGGCTTTGCGCATCGTCGGTGCCAATAGGCGCAGCGCTGTCTAATTAAACCCCTACTACGTAATCCCGGCCACACCGCCTCCCCCCGCATCCTCCCTCCTCCTCATTTTAAATCCACTCCGACGGCGCACATCACTCCAACCATCAGTGCTGCTGTCCTGCACGTCCCGGTCTCTGCCTCTGGAGGAGAGCGAGCGCCCCGGCAGCTCCAGCAGCTCCAGCAGCTCCAGCAGCGCATCGCACGGTGACATGCTCCGCAGGCTCCGGCTGCTGTAGCCCCACAGACAAACACCCGATATAAAGCTACCGGGACGCGCGTGTGAGAGTGAGTGAGTGTGTGTGTGAGAGCGGTAAGGAGATCTGGTTTTTATTATTACTATCATCATTGTTATTATCACTCGGTCCCGGAGGAACAGCGTCCGGTGCGAGCAGAGCATCGCCTCCACGCAGCAGGGGAGAGAGAGGCTCCCGCTCCAGACCAGCCGCTACAAACCGGTAAGGAAGAGCTCAGCATTAGTCTGCACCGATCTGGATCTATTTATTCACTTATTTTTGCAGTAGTGATGATACGGTTAGTTACCGGGTCAGAAGGAGATTGGAGAGAGGAAACGGAGACGCGCGGAGATGTGCGTCCACGGGCTGCGACAGGACAGAGAGAAGACGAGGGAAAACAATGAAACAGCGCTGGGGGGAGGAATAACAGCCCCCAGCGCTGCGTCTCGCTCTTCTCACCGTATTGAAACACGTGCTTCGTGCTTCAGGGCGGCTGAGCGTTGAATGCGGACGACTCCTTTATTTAGCAGAGCCAATGACGCGCAGCGGAGAGGGCCTGCAGTTTTTATGAATGATCCGAACATGGGACGAGATGCTGCGGATCTGCCACCTTCCTCCACCAGAGCTGAACTCTGCTGCATCTTAACGGAGAGAAATAGAGAGCAGGAGTTTGTTGCAAATTAATAATGTAGCTATAGTACATATTTGAACTGCAAGTTCAAATATCTGCATGGTTATATACAGGGCCGGACTGAAAAGGATGAGGGCCACTGGGCTAGTGCCAGTTTTGGTGACCTATTCTCCACACACACACACACACACACACACACACCCACAAACACACACACACACACATATGTATATATATATTTCTTTTGATCTGCTGATTCTCATTGATTGTTGTTTCGCCAGGATGTGCAAGGAATACTTTGATTGGACGAAAAAGGGCTGCCTGTGATTGGCTGATGGTGTAGTTCCCTCATATGTGAAGTTGTAAGCACAAGCCATACCCTATTGTATGCACACAGACATGTGCGTTCATATTAGTGTCTCTACTGGCTCCTGACGCTGACACAAATTAGCGTCTTATGCAGAAGGTTACCCTTGCAACCATTCATGCTAGTTAGCATTCTGCCTCATGTAGCCACGGCTAGGCTTGTGAATATCGGCTCGCTGTTGCTCAGTTCCCCTCAGTCAAATTCGTAAAAATAGACTTTTTTTATATATAATTTATTTGTGACCTGTTGTTTTATTTCTGAAGTTTCTGGTTGTTTCTATATCTGTAGGCAGGCGCAGAGAGGTTATGGAGTTCTGTGATTTAAAAAAGAAGAAAAAAAGACACTTAGGCTCAGACTACCTTGGTGTTCGAATACAATCCGTAATACATCACCAGTGCAGTTTCAGATGTTTCACAAAAAATGCTTTTTAACCCATCTTTGCTATACTTATTAGTGCATACAAAACCCATTTAACCGTCCTGAGCACAACACTCAGAAGGAGCGCAGCAGATATCACGGTCAGACGGCAGAGAAACAGTGACGGTTTCTCTACCATAAGATCCCAAAATCATGCAAACAACAACAGCCATTGCTGACATCCATCATGTTGTGTTTGTGTTTCAGGTTGTGCAGGGAAGATGTTTTTTTGTGGTATTTGTTTGGCTATGATGCAGAAGAAAAACAACGTCAGTGGAGTGGTTTTTGTCATGGTGTCAAAGTGTAAGATAATACATAGCCAATATCAGCAAGTATCAGTTATTTTAGCAATGGTAATATAGGCTTTTGATATCGGCCCAAATTTTCATATCGATGCATCGATTCTCATAGACGCTCTCCTGAGTTGTTTCATCCTTGTCATAGATAAGGAAAATGAGACTCTCCTAGTGATTGACAGCAGGTTTAAGAGCCAGGCAAACAAGATAAGAGTCAGGAGTCCCACACTCCCCACCTCATCTGAGACATACAGCAGTGCATCTTCAGATCATCAGCTGCCAGGGAAACGCTCACGACCTGCGACTTTACCAAGCCTGACTCTGCCTCTGCCACGCTGCGTTGATGGCGCGATACATTTTCCCCGCACACCTTCGTCTCCTAAATGCCACCCAGCTGTTGCACGCCTTCCGTGCATAATCCCCTGGGATTGAGCAGGTTTCTGCCAGGTTTTGCGTCACGAGCAGGCAAGCGGAATTAGCGGCGAAAGTCGTCGGTTTACTTGTTTTAAAGAGGAGTCGGAGTCTCGTGCCACCGCCGTCTATCTCTGCAGCAGGGTGATGGTGAAGTGAGCAGCCAACGCCTTTGACTCCGAGTTAATGGGAACGTCGAGGTGCGGGGCCTTCCTCTCGCAAAACCGACGCGGCGCGCTGCAGGGAGATGCTCAAACACGTTTGGATCGGGCAGGACTTTGCCGCTTCGTTGGGTCGAGGCGTCGTTTCGGCCACATGTGCTTATGCTTGTTTAGTTGTTACATAAGAGGATAAATGTGCGCTGGAGCACTACTCTCTGTGTCACTTAGACTCATAAGCACGCACACAGGCAAAGCCTTCCTTCTGCTTGCCTGCTACACACCAGAGGAGATTTCAACAAGGAGGCATCATACCCCACAAACACAACAGATGTTGTGGTTACGGTGTGCCAACAAGGTTTGGCTTTTCTGCTGTGTGTACAAAGCCTTTCTGTCTGTGTCTAGTTCTGTCCCATTATCATGACCAATGCAGCTCTTCTCATACAAGCGACCTTGGTTTCATATGACGCTACCAGGAATCTTGACACGCTGCCCCCCTCTACTCGCATGCGTTGAATACATAAGCACCAAAGTGACTTTGAAGCCAAGATTCGTTCTTGCCACGTGACCACAGAGAGAGGCGCAACGTCTCAGAGCTCCTTTTCCTAACCTACATCACGCTGCTGTGGATTTACACAGGGGACAAGATTGCTGCTATGATCGCAGAAATGTTCGTTTTTCCATATTTTCGGGGGTTCAGAAACAACACAAGGGAGAAATCTGAGGCTGTTTTAAATGGAGAAATGCAACAACGGTGCAACCGAATAAGATCTTAACCTGCAATTCATTGTATTGGGGTTTGACGTGATTGACCAACACAAAGGTCAATCATTTTTTTTCTACCTTTCTATAATGGTAGAAAGAAAAGGCCGTATGGCTTTCAGTGTTTTTCTGCAACAAAAGTGACAAACATGGCATGCGTTTGTATGTAGTCGCGCGTAGTAATCACTTTATGTGACTTTCTTTAAACATGAAACGTGTTCCTGACACTCTGAGTGTACAAGTCAGACTTTTGAGTCAACTACCAGTCTGACTAATTGCTGGGAGTATCAAAGTCAAGGGGGCAGAATGTAATATTTGAATGCCATATGTTTCTGATTTTATTCATAACTGTGATTCAGGGAGTAAAGTGGTCATCTCACAATTCGGAGACTGTGGGTGCGATTCCAGCTCCCAAGTCATTCCAGTGCTCTTTACAAAATGAACGTTCATTGGACGGCGAGAAGCCAAATTTGTATTATCGTGCTGTTGTCGATGTCTCACTTGGAAATGGTTTAGAAATGGCAATATTATCGTTAATCGCAATAAGTACCCAACCAATTTATCACATTTACCATAAATGTGATAAATGGAGACGTATTGTGACACATTTTGCTGAAATGATCAGAAATGTATTTTCACACCCGTTGAAGTGAGCGCCGTGTGGCCGGCAGGGGTTCATCTGAGGTCTGCGTTTGGCAGTGATCTGGCCAGGGCGACTCCTGGCCTGTCAGACGCCCAGCCGTCCTGCTGCGAGCGACTGCTCCGCGGGGGGCGGATGAGTCAGAGCAGAAAAGAAAACACTCCCAATCCCAAATTCTTCCAATCAGCTTGAGGTCAGGCCTGGGATTAGGATTAGCTCAGAGGCAGCGGAAAATTCACGGGGCTGTAAAAACCATTTCACAGAATTTATTTATTGTTCTTAATCAAGCTTAAATTAAAATTTACATCCTGAGACAAATTTTTATATCAGATACAGGGTTTTTATTTGGGTGTGGGAGAGAAGCTGTAAGAGAATCAAAAGTCTGCCTGTCTCAGGTTTGGGGTAAATATATTGCTATAAACCTCAAGAATTGAAATGAAAAAAAAAAAAAAGCTGTGAGGACTAATGAGGCAAAAACAAATTTAGTTTTTGGAGCATCGGAATAAGAACATGATCATTTGAGAGAGATGACATTTGAGTTTTTAAGAGAAATAAATCTTGTGGCACGTTTTTAAGTCTTGTCGTAAAGTTTTCTTTTTCAAACAAGAGTCTGCTCCTGAATTTACCTCGGAACAATAACATACCTCCAGCTCCAGGGCACATCAGCCGGACAATGACAGGAAATGCACCAACAATTCCGACTTTGAAAATAATAAAGCAAATTAAAACGAGTTGGGCAAGTTTATTTGTTAAGCACATTTCAGCAACGAGACAGTTCAAAGTGCTTTACATCCCCAAAACAGAACCAATTGGTCACATACCATGAATCACTTACACCTCAAATATATTGATCGATACCGCGGTTCTCGCCTTGATTTAAAAGAACTCAGTGTTTTGGAAGGTTTGCAGTTTTCTGGAAGTTTCTTTTGTGCTTTTTGGTGCTCAGAAGCCGAATGCCGCTTCCAAATTGACGCTCTTGTAAGGCTTAGTTAAAGTCTACAGTAGTCGAGATGCAGTGGAACGTCCTCAAACGGAGTTCATTCTTAAATTCCTCCCAGTGCGGCTGAACTAAATCGCTCTGCAAGAAATGAAGAGGCCACATGTCCTCCACGACGCTGTGAATAAATGACGCTCCACTGTCGTTTTTGATACCGAGTATGGTACGAACAGGCTAATCTTTTTTTTTTTTTCCCCCATTTGTGGCCAAGTTACCTCGGTTTGATAGTCAACTCTCTTTGATGATCTGTCTGATGTTCCACGGAGCAAACGATGCACGGAGGTCGAGCGGCGCTGACCTCATCACGGGGAGGTCCGGCCTCCCCGTCTCCTGTGAATTCAGACGAGTGCGGAAGAATCTGACCGGGCAATTGGCAGCAGCTCCACAAGTGGAAAAAAAATTATGTTTTTGTTTGTTTGTTTATTTATTTGCTTGAAACGGAAGGAAATCAAAAAGGAAGGCAGTAATGAGAAGTTTGGAGCAGAGGTTTTAATAAGTGGCAGTAATCGGGCTATAGCTGGTCTTCTCCTCCCGTAGCCATTA